CCCCCCCCCCTGTGCTCGCAGGTGCTCATGTGGATCCTGGCCATCCTGTGCGGCATGATCCTCGGCAAGCTGCTCATCCACGGCTACCTCTGCGGCACGCTGCTGCGACTCAAGATGTTCCGCGACGACCAGGTGAGTGCGACTGCGACTCGCCACTGCGACCTGCGACAACTGTAAACCTGTAGACCTTGGAATAGAATTAAACCAGATTCACTGAGAGCGCTGCTGTCGTAGAATAATTTGCATGCCGCCGCTGTAGTGGGAACGCCATTGTAGTAGACATTGTTGCGACTGTGATAGGAGAAAGGTACTAGTAGTTGCTTAAAACAACGATATGTTATTTTCGGTCATTTAACTGTATACTGTATCAATATACTATTTAACTGTAGAAAAATATACCTGATGATATATACTGAACAACTCATAACCATATTATAAGGGTTCAAGCAAATTCGTTGTTCCCAGTTCACATTCAGAGCACAAGTTTGTAGAGTTCGACTCTTTGACGGAATTTTACTGGGGGAATATCTGGGTTGATCCCTAATCAGTAATTAATTGTGAATGTTGAAGGTCGTTCATGTGAAAACCTGCATATCTGTATTGTTAAAAAATGGCAACTGACATAGAAAAGGTGTCCGTAAGCATCATCAAGATACAGATACTGCTTTGGTTTTTCATTTTATATTTTTATTTCTGATACAATCACTCCAAAACAAAGATAATGGTGAAAACGAGCGCAATCGCAGAGTCAAATTTGAAACCCGCGCGCAAATCATCCACAACAATGGCGGCCACGGCCCTTTTCAATTTGTTCTATGTCCTGAACTGTGCGTACATGGGATTATAGGAGCTCCCTTCTAACGTAGCGGTTCACTGGGGTCAGCTGTCAGCTAGAAATGGGATATTAGGATAGACGACCCTTAAATAACAAGCAGAATTCCTTTGCACCGTCGTGGAAACTATTTCGAAAGATTCTCAGATCCACGAGAATGTGGATTAACGCAAGGTTATAGTATGTATATTAATAATAATAACTTCTAAGTAGCCGACCTGGACGGCGACTAAGCGCTTCGGTCCGAGGCAGGGGATGAGGCGAGCGAGGTGGCAAGGGTTTGAGCCCCGCCTTGGGCATGGTTGTTGGTTCTTTGTCTCTCATGTGTTGTTGCGGAGGGACTCGCGTTCTGCTGACCCTACATCAGAGGAGCCTTCACGTTTGTTCATGTCTAATGTATGGGCAAATATGCGTCCCAACGGGATGTAAAGGGTAACCAGCTGTCAGCTGGATAAAATTACTAGGTGAAAAAAGCCTTCCAAGTAATCAAGAAGTTCTGTAATTATTGAAACGTAACACACAACTCTTGAAAATAAATTGTCATTTTTTATTATTGAGAAAGACATTTATTTTATCAAAGAAGTCGGTTTAAATGCTCCGACGAATACGACGTTAAACAGCTCGTCGCCACAGCAATCGCCTTAGCGATCTCTATTATAAAAATTAATGAAGTGCGGCTCTAATATTTCGATAACCGCTTGATGGATTTGCATGATCAAGGAGTCATTTAATTAATAAATGAATTAGTTACGTTTTTAATATCTCACTGTTATAAAAAGATTAATTACAAACAAATGTATGTAAAAAGAGGAAAACACGTAGCACCAAAAATGATTGGCGAGTCTTCTACAATCTACTAAGAGCGAGTCCTGAAGTTTCTGCGAATGATTACGGAGACAACTGAGTTGCAAAGCCAGAGTTGCAAACCCATTGGCTCCGCAGGGAACTCATTTTCCATTCCATTTTCTTTCTTGAAGGGAATGGACAATTCGTGGATAATGAAGGATATGCGTTATAAAGTGTTATCTGAGATTAGATAACTACTTTAATTCTCTCTTAAAATTTTCATTTTCCTTTCTGTTTTCCAGTATGATTAAATTCTATTTATTATGTTACTGAAGGTGGCATTGCGGCGTACAAACTAAGAATCTCTAATTTTCGCTTAATTTCAGACGTCTGAAAAATTAATACTCTGCAAAAAATATAATCTTCTTTGTTATTCCCCTTCTCTATGGAATGTTGGAATCTAAACACGCAGTTTTTGAAACTCTCCTTCGAAGTTTTTCTTTCCAGGCTTCCCTCCCTGCTTTTTCTCTTGAAGTAAAAAGAACTTTCCAGTCTGACTTCGACCACCTACCTCCTTCGAAACCTTGATGGAGAGAATCTTGTTTATTTCGTGCTGCAAAAACTCTCTAAGTATTGTTTACGGACGAAATGAAGTGTTCACTGCTCCACAAAGTTTACTTGTTCTTCTAGGAGAATTTAACATTTTTTCGCAACATTTAAGAGGAAATATAGTTCTTGGACATCGATTTTCCTGAAATAGATATAAAGTGGAACGGTTTTTGCTTCTCTTCATAATCGCACATTTTGGACAAATTAATGTTATCCCTTTAATTGAAAAAAGATAATTCTCGAAACCTAATATAGTTTTATTTGATATGTATGAATGTTTGAAAGTTATGGATTCAGATTTGTATACCGAAGAAATGTTTTCCAGTAGATAGTGTTACTAATAACAAAGATATCTCCTATACGCACGCATTCTGCCGTTTGGAATCTAAAATCTAAATCTAACAATGAAATTTACGAAATAATTTGATAATTGCCAGCACACTCTCCTATTAATAATTTTTAATAGTGAGGCCGTCATAATTCGTTGTTGCTAAAAAGTAATAATTGAAATATAGAAACCTATTTATTAGTTTTATTTATTTTTACAAACATTTAAAATCTACCATTTGCTAATTTTTATTGTATGTTCCTGATATTTTACTCTGTTACTTATACGACTTGCAGGCACTGGTATGTCGAACGCCAGCAACCACATTCACTGTAATGGAATTCACTATAATACAATTAACTAAGACTATATTCACATTCACTAATACACAACTCATAATGCTAAATAAAAAAACTAATAAATAGAAATAATAGTTATTATTTTAGTAGTTTTCTAGTAATTGTTTTAGTAGTAATTGTAATTTTGCGGCAGTTACAAAAGCCTGCATCTTGGGTCCCCAAGAGAAATAAGAATGTTGATGCCTCAGCGTCAGTTCGAAACTGGGAAGCCGAAACAGGATTAAGCTGTAGATTACAAGTTCTGTTAATAGTAATCGCCTATGAATTCGTGCTTAGGAAGTAAGAAAATCGTTAAAAGACTCGGAGCGCAAATTTCGTAGCGCGTAGTCTCAACAAATATTTCAAAACTTTTGAACGCCCTCTTCGCGACCATCTGAAGCGAGATACCTTCATATTCTCTAACCGGATTTAAAGCCAAAGAAACGAAACGACGCCTCTCGTGCATTCCTCGGAGACGCCCACGTTTCATCGCTCTTTCACCAGCATCTCTCACTCCGAGCCACGCCTCGACGCGGGGAGTCGCGCAAACGCTGGCAAAGAGAGCGGGCCGGGAGGAGGGGGCGGGGAGGAGAGAGGAAGTCTGGGTTCGGCGAGAAGAAGTCACAGCGGAGTGGGGCGGGAAAGGGTGGAAATGGCTGGGCGGATGGAATGTAGGGAAAGGAGTGAAAATGGTTGGGCGGATGGAGTGCAGGGAAAGGAGTAGTGGAATGGGCTGGGTGTGCATATAAGATGTGGAGCTAGGCAGGGAGGAGGGCTAGGTGGATGAAGGGATAGGATAAGAATAGGAGCAGGAGTGGAAATGGCTAGGCGTACGTCCGAGAGGCAGAGCGGGGTGGCGAGGAG